TAACTACCAAAATGTTCGTCATGTGATATGAGGATTCTAACAAGCCCAAAATCGCTAAAATCCAATTATAGGGTCTCAAGATCGTTTAATTTTTGTACGATTTTACTAAGAATTAAAAACTCTTATTAAAATCATACAAAAAGTAAGCGATCTTGAGACCCTATGATTGGATTTTAGCGATTTTAGGCTTGTTAGAATCCTCATATCATGACGAACATTTTGGTAGTTAAATAACTCAAAACGGATCAGTGGGTCAAAAGTTATTAATAATTTTATAAATTAATATATATGATATATATAGTTATTATGTTGGCCTCCATTGGCTCCATTGGCAAATTATTCCCAATGGAGCAATAGAGCAATGCCAATGGAGGTCTTCTCCATTGGGCCCAATGGATAAATGTGCTAACCCTGGGTATAGTCTTACAGTAAAGATATATAGATGTTGCTCTTGTATATAATTTTTATCAACCTGGTATAGGTTATAATAGTGCACTTCTGTTTCTTATATGCGTCAAATTCGCCTGTCTTTTTTTTGCTTTTTTTATCCTTTTCCTTTTATGTATAGATAGAGTTTAGGGGTTTTGTTCGATTCTTGTTTGTACATGTCTTAAATTTCTGGTCTTTCGTAAATTTTGGCATTATTTTCTTCCCTTATACAAATGTAAGAGATTTAATTATTCTGCCAGGATCTAGATGGAAAAAGTTTTAAAGGAAGATGTGTGATCTTGACAAGGTAAACAACAACCTGTCTGTGATCAAGAGAGGTACTCTTATCAGTACGAAATTTGATGCAAGTGTTGAATCCTGAGTGAGACTAATTGTTGTTATAGCAGGTCGCATTGGGTATTTTACTTGGTGAGTTTTTATTAGATTAGAACATTACACTTTAAGAATGTAAAGTACTTTGTACTTTCATTAATGAGTAGTTCCAATGAATAAAGACAAGATTGCTTAAAAAAAAAATAAAATAAAATAAAAACTACTATATAGAATTTTGCAAACTTTTTTTTATTTAAAAATTTTAGATTTAAATAATAATTTATATAATTTTTAGATTTATATCTAGTTTATTTAGTTTAATATAAAATTTTTAAAAGTGTTTACAATAATATAGTAAGCCACTGTATAATGAATACTACTATTGATTAGTTAAAAAACTTGAATAACAGATTCAAGAATATGCTTAGAAACTAGCTTTAAATATAATCCAATGCAGATTCAATTCAGATTTGATAGAATTCAAATGATCTGCCAAAAATAGAATTAAAGCAGTATATTATAGCTTTAGTTATAATTTATTAATAATTGTTAATTCTAAAAACAGTATTGTATATAGAACAATTTTAGACAATTTTGAATATTTTTTCAAATTAAAATTAAAAATTTATTAAAATAATCTATTTTAATTTTTTTATAAATAAATCTAGTATCTAAAAAATATATAATTATATAATTTTTAAATTACTTTATTAATTATTTAAACTTGAAGTATAAACATGGACAATTTTGAACAATTTTGGATATTGGATATTGGATATTATAAATGTGTTATATATATAACACTGCTAAAGGTATATATTATTGCCCAAAGTGAAGCAGAGAATGCTATATGTTTATGAAAAATAAAAAAAATTAGTTGTTTGTCAGTTTGTTTATTTACATCAAGTACAGAGTTGTTGGTTTACTGTAATTTTTAAAATTTTTAGTAAATTTACCAGACTGTTAGGTAAATTACTAATAAATTTACTATTAGTTATTTTTAAGAAAGTTTTGTATAAAATCATGTGATTTGATAACTAAATTTTTTTTTTTTTTGACCAATTAAATTATATAAACAAACTCAATTTTAAGTATATAAAGGTAAATTTACTATATCTTTGGTAAATTACCTGGTAAATTACTGTAATTTTACAATACCTGCAACTGGATCAAGTAACATATAACCAATTACAATCTACTGATCAACAAATATATATAAATATAAATATGCTTAGTAAATCTTTTTCTCAAAATATTACATTTTTAATATTATCATATAATATGCTCTGAACCCATAATACTATGCATTTTCCTAGTAATAGGATTCTTTTATTGCTCAGATTTATGTAAGATTCTATTGCAACTTATGCTAATTAGAATTAATTTTAAATTAATATAGAATTTTGTTATAACTTATATAATAAAAAATTTTATTTTAAAAATTTTAGCAACTAATTAGACATATTGGACCTGGACTATGTCCAAATATATCCAGTCTAGTCCAATCGTGTTAAAATTAGATGAACATATGTCCAATGCCAACAGTTATATTTTAAAACCTACTAGCTAATTCATGTCAGAGATACTAAGCAAAAAATGGTCAAAACCTCCAAAAACCTAACCCTAATTAAAATTTGAACTATTATATGAGTGCGTAAGAGTGAAAACCTGAAGCTTATCATAATAAATCATTATATGCAGTCACTCTCACGCACTCATATATATGTTGTTTCTCAGATTAATGCTTGCGCCAGATGTCGACTTTTTGGCCCGCATTAACTGATCGACATTGATTGACCTAAAATAAACCCAAATCCTTACCCTAATCCTAACTTAGGCCGATTGACATCTGAGGCAAGCGTTAGTCTGAGGCACGACATATATATTCCAAACTGCACCCTAACTATAGATGCTGGTGAAATTAATTTCACCAATTCACCGTGAAATTATTTCACCACATTTCACCATATTTCACTAGCATCTATAACCCTAACCCTAAAAATAAGAGGCGGTGATTATCACCACCGGTTATTTGTAGTAAAAATCTAAATAGATTATTTATAAGCTAATTTTTTATAAATAGTAATAAAATTTTTCCTTTCTTTCATATGACTATAATTATAAACATATAGAGTATAAATATGTGATCTATTAGTTTATACTAAAATTTTCGTAAGTTAGAACCCGAAAAATGGTTTCATAGTGCCTATCGCTATATAAAAAGTTAGATTTTTTATTCCATTACCCAAATTTGGTTTTGTTCACTATGCTTATCGTATCCTCATAAAGATTCGAGTACTCACCATATTTGCAGTTCTAATTTTTGATTAACGTTAAATGCTCGGGATATACTGTAACTGTATTACATACATAATTTGTTATTTTTTCATACAAAATATACCTGCTTTCATACAAGAGTGTTATTTAATTTTAAAAGTATATGTTCTCGAATAGGATCCAGCATACATTAATAAGCGGTACTAACTCAGTTGGGCTCGGATGCAGTTTAGAAAATCTATTATTAGCAGTGTTAGGCACTAAATTGGAACGTTTCGCTGGAACACTACTGGACCAAATTCCAGTTCCATTGGACCAAAGGTCACTTGACGCAGGCCGATTCCAGTTACTTGATTGGCTTATATTAAAAATTGTACCTGAGTTATATGCAGGCAATCGAATACCTGGGTTGTGGTTATGGATACTGTAATTTTATTTTTATTCAGATTTAATTTAAAAGATGAATATATATAAAGTACATCTATTAATCTGAGACTATTCAAGTTCATGAATTTAATTTCATTTTACGTGTATTGGGTAAACTTGTCAATCACTCGGATAAACTGCAAATTCACCTATTAAATAACCCAGTAGTATACATATATCTGATATAGTTACTAACCAACTGTTATAAGGCTCGCGCGGTAAACATAATTCCGCTTTTGGACCACTCCGGTCCATTGCACTGTCCAAACAACAATTAGGAGAATAACTTAAAAACGATACCTTTTTCTGTCTGAACACCAAAAAGTCATCTATTCTTCCAAGGTTATATATTTTAATAATGGCCCTAAACCTTTTTTAACCACCAGAAAATATGAATAAATGGTACGTAAGTACGAACGTAACGTACATACTACGCAGACGTTATGTATAACAACAGCGATGGGAGGATATAGGCACGCGTAACTACTGTGAAAATAAATTTTGAAGGATTTTAAGGATCTTACAAAAGAAGTTGCATAGGTGAAAAAAAACAAAAATATTACGTACATAATCTATTCATAGTAAACAGGAGCCATTTCAAACAAGGCTGTAGTTGGAGTTAGTTTAGGGTTAGAGTAAGGGCAATTGAGGTAATTGATAGGATGCGATTTAAGGGAAATTGGGTTAACTGATGAGGGTAATTGATAAGATGTAAGTTGGTATGAATTTCACACGTATGAAAATCGAAAGATTATCCTACCCTACTTTGTTTGTGTTCTAACTACACACCCCTACGTCGAACTCCCTTAATAAACCCCGATAAATTTCTATACGTTTACCATTGACGTGAATAACAGGTATAATATACACACACTATAAGTCAAGCTAACGCTAAATGATTATGATTAACCTGATTAGGGAAGAAGAAGAGGAGTCAAAGCCTTTCTTTGTTAATACTAAATATTATGTAGTAACGTGTGCTAAATTATACGCATTTAATCCGATTTGCCAAATTATTAAGTCATTAAATCAGCATTACATATTAATATGTCGCATCGTCATTTGAGTTTCCTCGATTTTTCTCTTGCGATAAATTCATAATAAGTAGTAATACCATATTCAATTGTGTATATTATACAATGTATGAATATTCGTATCCCATCATAATAATAATTTTGTTTATCGGCTTGATAATATTATTTCTAGCACAAAGGAAGAAACCAAAAGTAATATATTCATTTAATTCTGTAATCTTTGTTTTTCAAATTTATCGAAAATTAGCCATTAACAATTGGCTAATAAATAATTTCGTACTAGAAAATTAATTTCCTAATATTCCGAGACATATTGTTCATAATTGATTTTGGGTTTGACCTAATATTTTTGTTGAAAAATAGTCGCGATGTTAAAGCACTTTACATACCTAGGTAATCATGATCTTTGCAAAGTAAAATTTAGAATTTCAAACTGATAAGTAATTCAAAAATAATCTTTTATATAGCATGTTATTTTTCTTTGTGCCAATAGCCGTGAGAATGTTACTTGTGTCCTTCATAATTTGCCGAGAAATCTTCAAGAATCCAGAGTTTCACGAATGGTTTACCAAAAACACAGTAAATGCTGTAATGGTTTCATCATTATCACTTATTCATATTGAATGTTTAAAATTACTTGATGCAAGAGTCGCAGGATTTGGTAATTTGAATGCACCATTTTCCAAAGTAGCAGAAGGACTCATCCTTTGGGGCGTAATGTGCACGATTTTTATTTGTGACTTACCTCAATTAGCCGTTCAGGTATATTTTATATGCTAATTTTTTATTTCTAATACGTATTATTGAACTAATCAAATATTTTTTGATCATAAATAGATTATTTATAGATCTTCTGTCAAAAATTATGATATAATTCCATTTCTTACATTAATAATGGGAGTCATAACAATTTTTCAAAACATAATGATTTTAATTTTTAATTTGATGAATTCTTTGAGCAAAAATTCACAGCTAAAAGACGGAAAGTCTCGTAGTATCGGTAATGCATCTTCTAATATTCAACAACGACCTGAGATTAAAGCCCATAGAAGCTTTATGGCGATGGGTCCTATTGAAAATGAAATAGAGTATTATGAAGATGATGAATTAAAAGACGCGTTTTCAAGAAGAGCAAAAAGTTGGAGCAATAATAATAATAATAATAATAATAATGATAATAATATAGAATCAAGAGAAAGAAAAACAAAAAGTTGGGATCAGTTAATTAGGAATAGTAGAGAATTTAATAATGAAAGAGACAGTGCAGTCATCAAGAAGATTGAAAAAGAAAAAAGGGTTAGTATTATCGAAAATAGGAATACATTCGTAGAAGAAAAAGGAGTTATTATTACTATTGGGAATATTGATGACTCTGAAAATAACACTGTTAAAGATGATGATAATACATGTACCAGCATTATGGTCGAAAGAAATACAAAAGTCAACAATTAATATTAAAATAGTGTTATAAATAGTGTGGTGTTTTTTTTTGTTTTTTTTTAAGTAAAAATATTACACTTTAACAAGTCTAGTTCAGATACTATTTTTTCAAGGTAGCTTATCTAAACTAATCGAAAGAAAATCGCTTCAGTAAATATTAATCACATTCAATTAACTCTAAGTAAAAGAACAGCATTTCAAAAAAAAATGGTATTCTTGTATCTGGACTATCTAACCACTAGCACTGAAGAAAAAAAGAAAGGAATTCATCTCTCAATTAATCCTAATCCTCAGTGCTTTGGTGTCTTATGTATATAGTAATGACAGTAAAGTTATTTCTTTATATTGTTTCTAATACTTCACTGTATATTAACTTGGAAAATCAATATTAAAGATATTTTTAAAATAATTTTAAATGAAACTTTACGTTAATCGAAAAAGATTAATAAATTTCTCTTAGGCAAGCAAAGCCATTTTTTTATTTTAGCATAATTCTAGAATAATCATAGAATTTCGAGAAAATAAATAAAACACCTTTTTAATTCTTATAGTGTTTTTAACCAATCCTAGCTAGTTACGAAATGCACAATTATTATATATCGATACCTGATAAATTTATATACAGTATATCAGATAAAAGATAAAATTGTAAAAGCAATTATATCGATATTTAATGAAGCTAAAAATAACTAATACGTATGCATAATCTTTTAAGAACGGATATAATGGAGAAACCATTAAATATATCATTGAAAAAACTTTTGATTAATAATTAAAAAACTACGGTTATTTAAGGATTTTATGATAACGGTTTTGATCATTGTTATCGTAAAAATCTTTATAGAATCATCAAGAACCTATCCGTATTTATACCGATCTTCGAAAATATGTTATGCAGAATAATAGTACGTGCATCAATGTATGATCTCCTGTCTGATTAAATGTCAGAATGTATGCGGTTCTTTTTTGTCTTGTCGTACGTACGTATTTCCCCGATCCTTTAGGTTTTAACTTTCGTCATCGTTTACAAAACTTAAAATGAATAAATTTATTGCATCACATGTCAATCCTTTTCGACTGTCTTCAGATTGTCTTGACCTAATTTTTTTACATTTTAAAAATGACAAAACTTCTCTCTATTCCTTCATTTTGGTAAATCGTCATTTTTGTCGTCTCGTTATTCCATTGCTTTGGAGTCATCCATTTGACTATGTGAGCAAAGATAAGGCTCTTCTAATCATTCAAACTTATGTTTCTTGTCTTTCTGATATCGAAAAAGAACAATTGATTGCTGAAGACATTATATTTGATAAGTCTTCTCGTCCATTATTTAATTATTCGAAATATTTACAAAGTTACGAATCTCATCAAATTAGATTAGCTATAGAAAAATGGCTTCGATCTCTTAAATCTAATACTAGAAATTTGGGCGAAAAAACACGTTTCACTTATCAACTTTTAGGAAATCTCATCTTTAGTAATTGTTATAATCTTAGAGAATTAACTTATCATTGGAATGAAGAGTTCAATACCATCAATTTATTGGACATTACCTCTTTCTCTGGTTTTCGACATGCAATTGGTTCTCTTAAAACTTTCAAGTTTGAATATTGTTGTTTCCCTACTCAAATTACTGGAAATTTATTTGCTGCAATATCTCAATGTACTCGTAATATTCATCATCTCTCAATTAATACTGAAAGCGATTTACGTCCTGAAATCACAAAAGCTATATTACAATTTATACAATCTCAATCAAGCATCAAAATTCTTTCAATCAACATGTATTCTGATGAAGATTTAAAAACAAAAGCATTATACAAAGCGATTCAATTTCATTCTCATTCCCTAACTCATCTCAAGTTGGATGGTGTGAATGAATTTAATCAATTGTTGAAATTATTGATGAAATGTAAAAATTTACAAACTTTGGAATTAAGAGGTTTTGATCCTGAAGATATTCCTGATCTTTTTGATTTACCGATAACTTTTATTAATATTCAAGATCTTTATTGCATGCCATGCATGCCTCTTAGACATGATATTAGTCCAACAAGTCAAATACATATAATTTCTCTTATTCAACTCTTAAAGATGAGCAATCAAAATCTTAAAACCTTTACCTTTTTGTCTAATGTCACTCCTGAACTAATGAAAGCCATTGAACATTATTGTCCAAATCTTACTCATTTATCAATAGCTATATTAAGTGAACATTTTGTAGATTTTTATTCATTACTTTCAGGACTACCAAAACTTGAAACTCTTTCTTTAAAGATTTATCCTGAAACTTTGGTATCTTCAATTTTTTCAATTCAAGATTTTGCTGATTCTATTCCACCAACATTACAAAGTTTCGGTATTAATTTTCATATCCCTGTGGAAACGTTGGAAACTTTATTATACAAATTACAAAGATGCAGCGCAAGGATTGCGGCGTTAACTTTTTATAGTAGTCTCATGGTTACGGATGAATATTTAAGAATCGTCACTCGTTACGCCCAAGATTGTGGTGGCTATTTTCGTGAATTTAGATATGTTACCTCAAGACAAATCGGTTCGGAATCATTTTCATCAGAAGAATTAAAAAAATCAAAAGTTTCAATTCCTATCGTTGGTGTCGCCGAATCTTTTTATACACCTTTTTATGGTAAGATTTTATAGCTTTTTTTACTTAATATTCTATATTGTTTATACATTGTTTATACATTGTTTATACGTATTTATGCATATTTGATACGTAAATTTATTGAATAATAGGTAGTTTTGATAATAATGACATATGAATCTTATGAAAAGAATGAATCGTGGCTTTACAATATATAGATAAATTTAGGCATTTAAAAATAGAATTTTGTAGAAATTTTTATAGAAAATATCAAAAGTTATATATGTGTTATTATTATTTTACTGTCTTCATTCATCTTGGTTTTTTTTTTTTTTTTTTTTGATTCGATTTAATGAAAGTTATTTTAATAACATTCGAAAAAAAAGATTACTTGTAATTATTCAACTAGCTTTTGATTTTTCTCTCCGATTTATTAAGCTCATAAGAAATAATAGGCTTTATGATGAAAGCAAATAAATTCCTCTTCATTACAACAAAAATAAAAAAATTCTTTTCATTTGTTTATGATAATGACTTTCAGATATAAAAAATGTATATTTAACGAATTAATCAAAGATTGAAATTAAGATTAAAAGCTTTAAATCATCGTATTAGGCTTCTTGCAAGTTATAAATTCAATGTCGAGTTATGAATAAAAAAAAACCGAACACATAAAAATGTTAGTAATATGTCATCGGAAATGTTATGAAAATTTCCGAAAAAACAAACAAATACGTATTAATATTATATGATCATCATAGTGCTTTTTGTACATTGTATTATTATACAGAAAATGGAAGAAAATTGACATAAAAAAAGTATAGCAATTTATTGTTATGTAAACATTTAACAAAAAAAAGTTATCATACGTATATAATTCCTCAGATCATTAACAAAACTTATTAAAATTGTACAGTATATGAGTACAAGTAAATATCTCCTATAGAAATGAGAAATGTTATTTGTTTAACGCTTGTAGACTTAATTTCATCAGTGAATAGCCGAAAGTCACTATTATTAATATTCTTCAAGTGCATCTTAGAAAATTATTGTGCTTAATCACAACATATCTTGTTTATATTTTACGTAATCTGACGTTATCAAACATGCTAATTAGGGTCATAATAATGCAAAATCAATTTAATTATTATTGCAAACTATAAAATACATGTCTATCTAATATTAATTAATTACATATAAATTTTATTTACAATCTAGCATTAACATGTTCACTAATTTTTTTACAAATTACTTTCTTGAAATCTTATTCACTGATGCCCCCTTCTTCAACAGCAGTAAATTTTCCAATCGTTGAAAAATTAGGACATTTATAACGCGTAACAACGACTGCCCCTCCAGTCCAATATTGTGTTGAAGTGCATAACGTAAATTCGGAACCAAACCACTCAGTTGCCAAACCAAACCTAGTCTTACTACAGAATCCTGGCACACAAAACAAAATCTCAACGTCAAAAATTCGACACTACCAAATCTTAATAGTACTACTGTTAGGATATCGGTATTGTCGGGATTTTGTTGTTGGGATCTTGAGTTTCGGATTTTAGTGTTGTCGGGATTTTTGCGTCGGGATTCTGTAGTAAAACCACAAAACCTAGATAATTGTACGTTAACAGATTTCGAATGAACTAAAGAAATGATTGTAAAAAAGGTAGTCATACCAATCCAGCACATTGAGCAAATCTAGTTGCTACAAGTGGATGATGTCCTTAAGATATTAAACCACCTGAGGGATTAACATACTTCCCACCATATGCAACATCACTTGTATCGATTAATTTATGAGCCTCTCCCGATTTACAAAGACCAATGCATCGTAAGTTATAAGCCAGAAAAATTAATATTGTCTATAATTAACCCAACCCAATGATAAATCTCCGGTAAAACAGAATAATTCCTATCTCATTAGCACTAAGAAAATCAAAGTTCTACGGCTTGAACATCTGCAGTAATTCTGGGGTTCTCAAAAATATCTTTAGCAGCACGGCGAGTCATGTCGTATAATGAAGAATCTGTTGCCATCGACTGTGTAATAATTTCAATCGCTTAAAAGTTTCAAGGTTATTTTTCATAACAAAATTTTCAGAAGCTATAATAATTGCGCCTGATCCATCTGAAGTAAGTCAACATTGAAGCTTTGTTAATGGAACAAAAAACTGTAGACATCGCGGAATTGAATGGATTTTTTGCAGTAGAGGGGGTTTTTTTTTTTTACCAATCTTTCTGCCGAAGCACCATATTTCTCGCAATATTCTAATCCAGCATTACCAAAATTTTGCTGCAATGGGTAACGAAGTAATTCCACAAAAGTTTCTGATATTAATTTAACAGTAGTACCTAAAGGTGAAATAACGCATTAAATACGCTATTACCGTATTGTCGCGAAATTACGTAATTTCAATTTTGGCTTAAATTAAGCTCAATTCGAGTCATTGTTCTAAGAAAACTATTGAAGACAAAACTAAAGAACGAGATGCTAAACAAAGTGAAATTCAGGCTAAAGATAAAGATAACACCCATGTTATTTCGTGATATAATAAGGTTATAAAGCATAAGGAATTTATTTCTTTCTTACAAACCGTGTGGGTCAATATGATCATCCTACACAGACTTAAGGGAACTTTAATAAGGGAATAACTTTGAGTTTAATAACGGGATTACTTAAGATATAAATGATACGATGTGATAATTACCAGGATTCGTTTGTTAAAATCCTAAAGGACGAATTCTATAGTTCCAGATTCAACGGCTTGGCACGCTAAATACAAAGCAATGGATCTAGCAGAACAATTATTGTTCACATTACTGCAATCATCACAGATCCAAAATAATATTCATAAAGTCAAATTATAAAAAATTATTCTACAACTTACATTATTGAAATTGTGTCATTTCAAGTTTATAAACAATACGTTGACCATAAGTACTTTCACCGCAACAAACACTTGTTGAATTGAATCATATGTAATATTCGCATCTAAAAGGGCTTTAACAGTGGTTTCGCGCGTCAGGCCTAATATTCGAAAAACAAAATGCTTCCTGCTACGGTTAAATTACGAACCTCGATAGTCATGGGCTTTACAAATTTTTAAATCCAACAGCAATTAAGGCTTTCGCAATTTGAATGCTCTAACAGTACTATCAAACTTGGTACTGGTATAATGCTAGCATAATGCTAGTAATGCTGTCGCTGGAAAAATTACGATTAATAGCTAACAGGGGGAAACGTCAAAGGTTACACAAACCGACGTGTGATCGACAGCTTGCATATAAATTAATTTATACATAGTATTATAAAA